TGGTGTCTCCATTTCATTTATGTTATCTGTGTTTTCTGGTATGGTGTTTGAATGGCGGCCAAGTACAACTCAGACATAACACTGTTAATTCAGTATTGCTCATGGAAAAAGTGAATTGCATATTAAGGTAAGCGGTTATTATTTTGTTACTATAGAGCAAATAGGCCACAATATTTCCTTGACAAAACGATTTACACTAAAGGCTAGGGATGTCCCAATCAAGTTTTTGTGGCCCAAAATTTAATCTGTGTCATTAAATATTGAGTAACTGCTCATATGAGGTATCAGTCTGATAGCTGCAAATCAGGCTCATTGCAAATATATGCTTAGGGCTGCTTTTTAATCGAATGTGTTTTTTTCCTCCCCTTTCTTTGTGCATTTTTGCAGTAAAGCCGGCTCTGTAATCAGCTGTAAATCTCCAGCAGCTGTTTTCAGATTGTACAGCGTTTACTACACAGAGTAAAGGTCTTTGCACACTGAAGGCAGAAATTTTCGTATGCGTTTTTTTTTTCGTATTCACATGCAAAAAATTCGTCAGTTCTATGCGTCAGTCCTATGCGTATTAATCCATTACGAAAAAACATTTCCGAATCAGTTCAAGCAGCGATACTTTGTTCTCTTCTCCAAAGGAGAAGAAGAAAGAGGAATAGACTGCATGTTGTGTTCATCCAATCCTGCATTGAGGAAGGAGAGTTCAGCTCATTATCAAAGAGCTGCGCCAGAATATGCTTAAATGCAAAGTTTCAAGAAATCATTGGAATTTTGATACATTGCTTGTAATGCTTCACACATTCTCATATGTAAACAAATCGAACAGAGACTGGCAGTACTATAGACAATAAAATAGATGATGGCCGCTTTGGCGTGTCGAAGCAACGGACCGAGAGTGGACCACGAGGCATCAAGCTTTGTGTTGTAACAGCCATGAACTATACTTTAAATGTATGGACACACACACACACACACCCACCCACAGGGCAGAGATGCGGCAGTCACTGAATCCAGCATACAGGGGTTCTCAACTGTCTGCCACATTCTGTCTTTATTTTATGCACTGTGTTTGTCATAAAGTTATCTGTTGCTAAAATAACGACATTCTGTATTTTGCTTTTCGCTTGTACGGTAGCTTTGAACTGCCAAAACACTTTTCAAAGCGATTATTCGGATGTGAAAAGCAGAAAAAAATCAAACCCAGTTCGATATATATATATATATATATATATATATATATATATATATTTTTTTTTTTTTTTTTTTTTTTTTTATTTATTTATTTTTTTTTTTAAGATGGACGAAAGTTTTGGAGGCATTGTGACAGTGAATATATTTTTTAATGTGCGAAATTTTCGAATTCAGTGTGCAATAACCTTAAATCGTGGAAAATGTAATCAACACAATAATGAAATCTGAGAACCACTCTGCGGATTGACAGTTGTTTGCGTAGATTATATGTGAGCTAGGGCTTTGTGTTGCTGCTAACCTAACATCTTAAAGCATGTGAAAATACCACATTAAATAAATTGTTTTTAGCAGGGTATTTGCAGTTTCCACGCAAGAGCGCCCTCTGGCCTTTGTATGAAATTTACTAGTGATGACTGAGCACCTTTTCTCTGACAAGATGTGCATGAATATTGAAGCTTTTGCTAAGTTGGGATCTCGATTTCTTAACTAATAAAATTAATTTGATAGCAACTTTCCTATTTAATGCATAAAAAAGGTTTTATTAATATTTTACTAATTTGAAAAATACATTATTTATTTATCATAATATCCAAGGGCTGCTAAACATACCAATACCAATACGGGGTATATGTGGCAGATATGGCTAATAAATACATCGCTAATTGTTTTATACATTTTTAAAACTGTGAATAGCCCCTGATAGTCTGCCATGCTGAGCTTTTAAACAATAAAATTGACTTCATTCAAACACCACACTGTTCAATCTTGCAGTGTGTGATATGATGTTTTATGATGTAATCTGCAATTGCCTCTCTGGATATACCACTAACTGTGCTCAAAATTAAAAAAAATAAATAAATAAAACTAAATTACTAAAAAAAAAAAAAAAAAAAAAATTTACTAATACTTTCCTTCTTAGACTTTATAGACCTGAAACTTGCCTATAGCACTTATTCATTGTTGCTCTTATAGTTGTGTAAATTGCTTCCTTGTCCTCATTTGTAAGTCGCTTTGGATAAAAGCGTCTGCTAAATGACTAAATGTAAATGATCAAGTATCCGCGATCTGCTTTTGAAAAAAATAATGTAATATTGTGCTCATTGTACCTGTTGCAATACTGGCACCTCTGTCTCAATATAACTGTTTTACATCATGCCAGAAATTCACATCCAATATACACTCATGGAATTCATAGAATTAGTCATGGAACTTAATGTGTTAGTCTTATTTGTTTTAACTCCTCGCCGGTTAAACATTAATGGCATATGTGGCTGTGCTTTTTTTCCCCCCAAGCATGCTCACCTGAGGAGATTAAGCGTGTAAGGTTGTAATATATCTCCCCAAACCCCTTTCCCAATTTTTCTAAATGAAATGCGTACTTTACTACATCCATTCAACTTGTAGTACAAAAAAACAAGCCAGGCCCAGTTTTCTTATTTAATATTCAGTTTCTCTAGGAACTGTGTCACAATACAGACAAAAAAAAATGGTTGCAGCTTCTAGTTCATGGGGACTTTAAAGGGGACAATTTCTCACTCTGATGATGTCCCTAATCTGTAAAAATGTATTATTGTCTACTTGATGTTAATAATACAGCAAAACATTTGAAAGAATCATGATTTTCCTGGATAAATATTGTGATATTTGTGATATATCGAGACCTCTAGTTCAAACTGATCAAACTAGGCTTAGAATTATAAATCCAGAGTCATATAACTTTAAGTGTTATAGACAGAGTTAAATTAGAGTAATAAGATATTTAAACACTTTAATCGCATTGTCTGAAGTGCTTATTCACACAACTTAATGTGTAAACATTGGACATTGTTCTTAGACTTGCTGTGTAGTCTCTGCTCTTTATCTTTATATAGAAACAGCACAAAGAGTGAATTACAGTCAAGGCAAATCTAGTTGGATTAAGATGTTCACCGAGGTGCCAGTGTTTTTCATCACCGTTTTTACACAGGTTAGCTCAGAGAATGTGCTGTATCCCATTTAAGTGTATAGGTTTAAGGTGCCATATCAGATTCAGTGCTTCCCACAGGTTTGAAGTATACTCGCTGTACTTTTACCCACAGCACATGGTTACCTACATGCCACAAAAAAGTGATTTTTTGCAATGTTTTTATTTATGACACTGTTTCTTTTCTTTTGTTTTTTAAGACTCTTGAAAGAAAAAAAGAAATCCGCTATTTGTTCTTTTATTCTGATCAGGAGCCATGTGCACCCACTGACGGGTAAAATCTGCTGCTGACATTGTGTACGGTATTCTCAAAGCATGTTACTTACGTATAAAATATGTAATAAATCAACATCTTCAAATTTTAAAAATTTCATGAAGGAATAAAAACGTCTATGTACTAAAAATCTAAAAAGTATAATAATAACAATAAAAAGTGTCGGTTTAAGTAAGGCAAATGAGTTAATTAACCTTTTGTAATGTTGTACATATATTTTGCAGCCAGTTTAGATGTAATTTCGCCCTTTTTGAGGGGATTGAAAAGTTTACTTGAGTCGTTTAGATCAAAGTATTAATTATATAATGTTTTTAAAGACTTTAAATAAAAATGACGATAGCTTAGAAAGCGAAACCAAAAGCTGAATCTCGAACATTTTAGGAAATTTAGAAACCCTGGACGGATGCATTTTTTAGTCCCAAAAAGGCATGTCTATGTGAGTCTTTGCAGAGCACATGAGATTGTCTTGCGCACACACAACGTGTAAGGCAAGAGGAGATTTTCCACTAGTTAGTCGATGGTGGGTGTTTGGCTATTGGCCAGATACAAAAAAAATGTAAAAGATGATAATAATAAAAAAATAAATATCACCAAATATACTTGGGCAACCGTTAATATACCTGGGCCGCCCGCTCAAGTAAAATCTATGTATGGGAAGCACTGAGATTGATAGTACTGATTGAAAATGTTACTGGACGACTTTCTTTTTCTTTTTTCCACAAAACAAACAGTTAAGCTATGCAGTCCTATGACAAATTGTGCTCTTTATTTATCACTTGTGACAGCTGACAAATTAAAGATAGGGCTTTTCACAACCGATCAGTTGACATCAATTTAAAAAGCCTTGATGTTTGAGATCATCTTGTGAAAACTTTCCTAAAGACACCAAGAGTGCTAAGAAATTGTCCTTGAATATCACCTGACTGATTAAGATTAACAAGTATGTTTTGTCGGAATAATAGGGAAAGTCATGCATACTTTTGGTTACAAAGACTTACATAAGGTATTCACACGAACCAATGACAGAAGAGACATTTGATACTTATGAGAAGTTTGTTGGCAGCTTAAGCTTCCTGATGAAAAGATTGCTTCGAAAGAGAGAAGTGAATACCCTGCTGCAACCGTAAACATTGCATCTATGCATTACAATTTGCTGTAATTTTACCTGAAGTTAAATCTCAAAAATTCCATTATAGCAAATCGGCCTCACCATGATCACTTGGTGTGTAACGTATGGCACTGAAAATTAACATCGCACAGTAGTGTTTATGTGAAGATATCTGATAACAGCATTTGCATGCAGATTTTGGGGGGGTTTCTATTGTTTTTCAGGAAATGAACAGGTATTTTCTTGTTTAAAGAAGACTCGCATGGTATCAAATCTATACTGACTTTACCATTTCAATGACGCAGCTTATTTTTTAACAGAGAAAGTAGAAAATCAGCCTGCTAATGGCAAACATTTGGTTTTCATTCTAAAAATTGCAGTTGTTTGTATTGTTAAAGGACTGAGATGTTTGCCAAATAAAGAAAGACTATAGATGCATTATTGAAATTCTCTTTCTCTGCTATTCCTTACAGAGGGCCAATGGAGCCACCAACCAAGAAGGACATGCTCTCGGTGACCAAGAGGCCAGATGAATGGAACGACCCCTGGTGCCGGTCTAAGTCTCCTAGAAGACGACCAGGCTTCATGGGCTCTCCTCCGCGTGGCCGTAGGCGACATAGGCCATCTGGATCATCAGTTTCCCTTTCCAATTCATCTAGGTAAGACATGTGTCATTGCGCTACTGAGAAAAACATTGGTGTAATTTCTCTCTTATTGGCTACAGGGATCATTGATTGACACCAATCACAATCATATCTGTTCAGCATGTGAACACAATTGACATTTGCTGGTGTTTAACAAACTGCACATATGTATGTTAGCAGGAAATTTCCATTTTTAAA